ACACACACACACACACACACACACACACACACACAAGATAAATACACCCTAATGATTAAGGCAAAACATTCAGACTTTAGGCAGTCCGTTCCTCAAAAGTCCTGAGTTCAAAAGTCTTATGGCCTGGTGGTATAGGCTGTTGGCCAGTCTTTTGGTCCGGCTCTGAAGGGACCTGTACCTTTTTCCTGAGGGTAGAAGTTGGAACAAGTGATGGGCAGGATGGTGGCTGTCACGCATGATGTTCTGCACTCTCCGTAGACAGCGTGTGGTGCAGATGGAACTAATCTCTGGGAGAGGCATTCCAGTGATTTTCCCTGCTGTTTTCACCACACGCTGGAGTGCCTGCTGGTCTGCTTTGGAGGAGCTAGAGAACCACACTAGGAACCCATAAGTCAGAACACTGCTGATGGCACAGTTGTAAAAGTTCACCAGCAGTGGCCTGGGGATGTGGTAGCTCCTCAGCTTCCTCAGGTAGAAAAGGCGCTGCTGGGCCTTCCCAACAGCAGAGGCGATGTGAGTGCCCCAAGACAGGTCCTCCGCCAAGGTCACCCCTAGGAATTTAAAAGTACTGACCCTCTCCACCACCTCTGAACTGATGGAGAGGGGTTCGTGCTTTTTAGGCTGTTTTTCCTAAAGTCCACAATCATTTCCTTGGTCTTTTTGGTGTTAAGAGCAAGGTTGTTGCTGTCACACCATGATGCCAGATGTTGCACCTCTGCCCTGTAGTCCCTCTCATCGTTGTTGGTGATGAGGCCCAGGACGGTGGTATCGTCAGCGAATTTGACGATCAGGTTGGAGGGAGAAGAGGCAGAGCAGTCATGTGTGAACAGGGTGTAGAGCAGAGGGCTTAAAACACACCCCTGGGGCGCGCCGGTGTTTATGGAAAGAGTGGAGGAGATGTTGTTGCCCACTCTGACCCTCTGTGTACGGTTGGTGAGGAAGTCCACAGTCCAGTTGCACAGGGTGGTGTTGAGTCCCAGTTGGTGAAGTCTGTGGCGGAGTTTGTAGGGCCGAATGGTGTTAAATGCTGAACTGTAGTCCACAAAGAGGAGGCGAGCATAGGTGTTTTGGTGCTCCAGATGCTCCAGCAGTGTGTGGAGCACGATGGCGATGGCGTCCTCTGTGGAGCGGTTTTCCCTGTAGGCAAACTGGTGTGAGTCGTGTGATGGTGGAGTTGCGGCTTTGATGTGCTTTATGACGAGTCTCTCCATGCACTTGGCGGGGATGGGAGTGAGTGCCACAGGCCTGTAGTCGTTAAGGCCTGTGACATGGGACTGTTTGGGAAGGGGGACTATTGTGGCGGCTTTGAAGCAGGCTGGTACCCATGAGGTGGACAGCGAGATGTTGTAGATGGAGGTGAGGACGTCTGTGAGTTCCGCAGCGCAGTATTTGAGCACCCGGCCCGGTACACCGTCCGGCCCGGGTGCTTTCCTGATGTTGATGCGGCGGAGAGCCCACCTCACCTCGTGTGTGGTCAGGACTGGGGCTGGGGCTGTGGGGGGGAGAGGGGGGAGGGCAAGGTCTGTGTTCTCCTTGTCGAAGCGGGCATAAAAGACATTTAAATCCTCCGCCAGGGTGGAACTGTTGGCTGGGATAGATGGTGTTTTCTTTTTGTAGTCAGTTATGGCCCTGATGCCCTCCCACACCTGCCTGGGATTAGCCGTGTCTGCAAATCTGGCTTCGATGCGCCTCCTGTGATGTTGTTTGGCAGACTTGATGCCCCTCCTCAGCGCAGTCCTGGCCCTGCTGTATGCCTCATGGTCACCAGACCTAAAAGCACGATTCCTAGCTCTGAGGAGCTGCTGTACTCCGTGTGTCATCCACAGGATACACACGGCTTTGTTTCCAAGTTGTAACATTGTCCAAACAGAAGCAGATGTAGTCTAGAACAGAGATGGTGTAATTGTCCAGTATATCCCGCGTTACTGTGCCCTGCTCTCTGAAAACATCCCAGTCTGTGTGGTGGAAGCAGTCCTGTAGCATAGGAACAGCGCTCTCTGGCCATATTCTTACAGTTCGGACGGTGGTCTCAGCACTCTTGATTTTGGGTGTGTACTGTGGGTGCAGCAGGAGGGAGAGGTGGTCTGACAGACCCAGGTGAGCTAATGCCTGGGCTCTGTAAGCATCTGCTACATTAGTATACACCTGATCCAGAGTTCTATGTCCTCTGGTAGCACATTTGACATTTCGGTGGAATTTATGCAGAATAGATTGGCAGAGAACTGATTAAATGTTTGTGGTTCTGCCTATACCCCTGGTTTATAGTTTGTACCACCCTCCACCATATCGTTTTCTCTATAACATGGCAAATTAGTATTGCATATGCATACTGTGCAATGTTTTTTATGTACAAAACGCTTCACGAACTTAAAGTGATGTTTTAATGTTTGAGATGTCATTTAACTTATTTATCATCCAGAACTATCCAGTCGCTTCTGTAATTGAAAAAAATTCTAAGAAGTTAAGTAATGGCCTACTATTTCACAGACTTTGTGGTATGAGTCATAAAAACAATAAACAATCTAATTATTCTCAATTTGGAATTCAGTTAAAAGGCATATTTTGTCTGTTTTCTTAAAACTTGAAGTCTGCATGGCTCACAGCAGATCAATACATTATCCATCTTTGAAGACAGAACAACTAGCTTTAGGTTGAAACAATCATGAGGGTGTATCTTGAGACAGTCTGCCCGCAGTCATGTGGAATGAATCAAAACGTAAACCTTTGCCGCTTCATTACACAGCCCTTGAAAATTTTATAAGAAAACAATACGAGGATAGTTTAAAGGGACAAGACCAGTATAAACAATATAGAATGACTGTTGTTGGTAAATGAGCATGTGAGATGTAATGTATGCTCAATGTGTGCTTAGCTGGAGCAAACAAGTGAAGCAGTGGGTGAAGATTCCACTTTTCACAGAGAGAAAGTGACTGCATTTTTCCCACTTTTGTCTTGGCTTTCACAGGGAAGTTGGGGAATTGTTGGTGCACAGAAGGATTATGATTTTGTTGCAAAGTAAACACATTTCTCATGAGTTGCTATGCTGATTTGAATATAAATTAAGTGGTCCATAAAATGGTATACTATTTATTTAAGTTCTTAAAAACTAGTTATACTGTAAATGCAACTGTATTGTGTTGGTTCAAGTAAAACATTTTTTAAAAATGTTTATAATACAGTAACATATTATGACATATATGATAATTTTCACATACAATTAACAATTATTCAGTGTTTTGTTTTTTTACAATATATTCCTTTTAAATATACACTAATTTATTGTTTTTCTTGTTCCAGATTTTTAATTTCATTTATTTATGGCATATTAATGTTTATTTCACAGACATTTGTTACAGTGTGTTTCAGTTTGTTTCTCCATTTCTTACTCATTGACTCGCTTTAAAATGACTTACTCTTTACTCTCTCTGTGTATATGACATTATCCATGCATCCATCCATCCATTATCGTTACTGCTTAATCCCTAAGGAGGGCACGGGGAGAACTGGAGCCTTTCCCAGTGGTCAATGGGCAAGAGGCGGGGTACACCCTGGACAGTCCGCAAGTCCATCGCAGGGACAAACAACCACAAGGACAAACAACCACGCACACACACATTCACTCCTAAGGGCAATTTGGAATGTCCAATCAACCTAAAATGCAGGTTTTTGGACTGTGGGAGGAAGCCGGAGAACCCGGTGAGAACCCACGCAGACACACAGGGAGAACATGCAAACTCCACACAGAAAGGTCCTTGTTCCCCCGGGACTCGAACCCTTTATGACATTATGTATTGTATCATTTCATGTTTCCTTTTACCATTGCACCCATTCACAGCTAACTGTGCATTTCTTTTTGTCATTGTCCTCCTCTCAGTCCTGACAGGTCAAGACAGATGGCTGCCCTTCTGAGTTTTGTTTTCTTGGGCGTTTCTTTTCGTTTAAAGGGGCGTTTCCTCTCCACTATCACACTGTCCTTTAGGAAGAGAAATTCAAATAAACTTGATGCAATGTAATTTGCTTTTTATTCATTAGAATCACATGAAATGTTATGCATTTTACTGAAATATGCAGTGATATAATTTTTCTTAGGAATAGTTGCTACATAAGTAAATTGAACCAGATTTGAATACAACTTAAAAAAAATTCCCATATTTTTAATGCTTTTAATTAACACACTGCCATATTGTAAGTTTATAATTGATGCTGCTGTATAAAATGCCCTTTTGTTTTTTTTTCTTCCACTGTCCAGCAACATCTGGAGTTTTTGTAGGCTGGGCTGCTGTAGCTACAACAACAAGGACTGAAAGCAAAGCTCAGTAAGTGTGTCTTTATTTGTGGAAAGTTTTGTCATGAGTAGATACCAAAAAAAGTCTAAAAGTAATTAATGGAAAATAAACATAAATATGAATTCATAATTAAGGGACCTGATAGAATATACATTAGCAAATGTGAAATAATTAAGGAATCTGATTCGAAAGCATGTCTGAATAGACACAAATAAACAACAGCTTTGTGCTGAGTTAATTCCTTTTTCCCTTATTTTAATTTTTTGCCGAAATTTACAGTTCCCACTAATTTTTATCAGCAGTTTAAAACAAGTAATAATGGAATCTATGGGCAAATCATGGGAGTACTATTTAACCCCCATCGCTATCTTGCAGTAATATGTTTTAGCTGTAAAATTCAAAATTATTCAAAAGAATAAGCATTTTCTTTAAAAAACAACTCTTTAGGGTTATTTTTATATTAGGTTTAACCAAAGCTGAATTGTATTGAAAGCAGAGTTAACATTGATTTTGTCAACTTTAGTTGTTTTTAAACTAACGTAGGGCTTCCACCCGTTAATATTTTATATATATATCATATAGATGTATTCTTCGTCTTGCCTGGCGGTGGTGGAGAATCCAGACCCAGTCATCCCTTAGCTAGATGAAGATCGGACTGACTGAAGTATGACTGAAAGATTTGGAGGCACAAAATCCAAACAGACTAAAGCTAAAAGGGGCCTCAAGCACCACAAGATGATGAGTAACTCTCAAAGCTTACAGTAATCAAACTACGTATCTCCAGGGTCTGACTGTCATTAATGATCATCCACAGCCCTCCAAACTAAAGAAAAGAAAAGGCATATCCTATCACTCAGCCCAAAGAAAAGAGGCTCCCAGTCTTTTCTTTTCCTTTATAAACAAATTCTTTATATGCCCTGAACTTTTCATTGGTCACTAAAACAGTCACACTTCGGTTTTACTGTAGATACTTTCTCCACAACTACACTTGTCAAGAGCCTTTTTAGAAGCTCCTGATAACACGGCCCTATCTCTGAGTACAGCAACTACTGAATAATATGCTTTGTTTAAACTTAATGGACTTCAGCAGAACATTAGCAATGCTCAGACCAGCTGTTTATTTGTAGTGCAAGACGTAGTTACTCAGTTACTGTCAGAGTATAGCCATGACAAAAAAAGCTCCATCACAATGCTGAGTGAACAACATTTGTCACTACACCTCTCCATGACAACACATTGACCATGCTGGTTTTATTTGATTGAACGATGTTAATCTTTTTTCAACAATTAACAGACAGTTATTGCATTTCCACTTTGATTTCTATTTGAGAACAGCTAGAATAAATTATAACAAAATTGGATCACTTGCCTTATTTACTAATAGTTCAATTAACTAAAAGAAGAAATGCAGGACTACTCCCTTTATTTGTTGGATTTAAACTCATTAATGATTAACTTAGCGATAGAGAGAAGATACAAAATCTGTAGATAAGATAAAGTATTGAAGGGAGGATGGTTGTATCTGGTAAAGATGTTGGTGAATTTTTATTTTGTGCAGATATCTATAGTAATAAGATTGTTTCCAGATGTAATTATCACTTTTCCGTTTTCGCTTTTTTCGTTTACAGGCAATGACCAGCTATATAACGTTCTTGATTCCTGTGAAAGAAAATGGATAGGTCTAAAACAATGTTATGAAGAGTACCAAAGGTTAATTAAGGGCCTGGGAATTAAGCAGTGATAGCAGAAAAAATGCATTGAAGGGTTTTTTTCCAATTGGTTCTCTGTATACAAAGATACACAAGATGTTTCCCTAACAGGTCATCTTTTGGACTAAAACCTTACAATAAAAACTTTTTAAGAAGGTATTATTGGTTGCAAAGGCATTGAAAAAAGTACACTTGTTTTCGAAACATGATTAAAGTACAGCATGGTTCCTCTCATTTATATATTAAAAAGCTAATAGGAACTAAGTATGATGGGGTTTTTTTATAAATGCAAAAAAAAATAAAAAAAAATAATTTAAAAAATAAATAAATGCAAAACTGAATGGAAATATTGTTCGAAACGTAGAGATAAAGTTTACTTTAGGATCCAGATGCATGTCTTTGGCCCTTTGTCTGTCCTTTGATGGAATTTTTTAAAAATCACTTCAGATACTGTTCAGCTACAATAGATAGCTTTGTCTGTTTTTTATTATTTTTTTAGATCTAACACTTCTTTTTTCTTCCACATGCAGTTTCATCAAGTTTACCTGCCAAACGTTGTGGTGACACATGCCAATATTTTTGCTAATTTGTTGCACACAATTAATGTATCAACAAATCTGTGTCAGTGAACAAAACACAATCACACATAGACACAAAGTAACATTGATGTACCATTTAGAGGGACCAATTACAAATCCTTAAATTTAAGCCAAAATCGGCTTATTTCACAAACCACAATTGATGTTGTGGAACAATAACTAGAAGTCAAACAAAACAAGAAATACAACTGGAAAATAATAAGACATATGAGGTAACTCTGAGGCAATCTGACAAGGCTGAGGCTCAGATGTGGTGATCGAGATCGAGTGCAAAAAAAGGTTTATTAAACTCAGGGCGCACTCAGTAGGAGTGGGAACAAAGTACAAACAATATCGCTCAACAAGGAGGTTTCAAAAAGTATCAAATCAAAATTACTCGTAAACGAGGAAGGAAAAAGGCTATGAAACAAAGTCACTAAATAATACTCACATGAGTTAAACAAATGAACAAGTGGTATCAAAAACAAAAACGCTCTTACGAGGAAATACAAGGGGCTAGGCAAGGCTAGGTTCAAGGACAAGGTAAAGCTCAGTAAAGTCATAAGACAGAACACACTGGC